CCGGGGCTGTCAGCACCGGGCCCCACCCTTGCCTGGGTTGCATCCCAGCCCTTCCCTGGTCAGTGCAGAAGGGAGCAGAGAGTGCAGCCAAGGCAGGTGGGTGGAAGGCTTGGCAGCAAGAGAAGTGGGACAGGGGACAGTGGGGGAGGGTGTGTCCCCTTATGGTGTTTGTACCAGGGCTTTGCCCAGACCTGACCATTGCTATGGATGGTTGGAGATTGGGGACCCAGTGGTCAGCTCAGTTATAAGTGGGCCCTAAGGTGACGTGACAGTTGGCAGGTGCCTTGGCAGGTGTGGGGGGTGGGGCATCTGAGAGATGAGGGGAGGAACCTACACCAAGGGAGGATCCTGAGAGGCCCAGCCAGGGCCCAGGAGCTGCTGTGACAGACAGCAGCTTGAGAGACCTCCAGGGCACGTGTGTCATCCCACGTCACCATGGCAGTGCTTCCTGCAGTCTGAGGTGACTCACCTGTTGAGTGCGCTGAGGTAGTTCGGTCACTAGAGCATTTGACTGACGCTCAGCAAAGCCCCAGGGCCCTCTTGTTAGCCACCAACTGAGATTGTTGTTTGGTGCAGACCCAAGTTGGCAGGGTCGTGACAACAGGTAGGAGAGTGCTCTGTGCCTGAGGAAATGCTCTCTTGGTGCCTTCCATCTGCCTGGCTCTGCTGGGCATTGGAGCTCCAGGGGAGATAACACAGAGTCCTTGAGTTGGTTTTAGAGGGGAGACTAGTGCAAACAGGCTGTGACAGGACAGCGGTAGAGAGTTAATAAGTGTGAGTACAGTGAGAGACTTCTAGGAGATGATGGGCGAGGCAAGAGTTTTCTCTGAGGGGGCTTCTTTTGCAGGAGGGGTGTCCTAGCAGGTGGAACAGCTTGGGCAATGGTGTGGAGGTTAGAAAGCACCCGCATCACAGGGACAGCAAGTGGCTGGAGCAGCATCCTGTGTGGCATGGGGGCAGAGAGCCCAGGAGGGCAGGGATGGCTCATGCAAGGAGGGTGCTCATGCCAGGTGTCAGAGCCTAGACCTGCTGTGGCCTCAGAACCCAGACCTGCTGTGGTCTCAGAGCCTAGATCTGCTGTGCCCTCAGAGTCTAGGCCTGCTGTGCCTCAGAACCTAGACCTCCTATGGCTTCAGTGGACCTACTGAAGACAAGATGGGTGTATTCAGAGCAGGATGTGTTCAGGTTGGTTCTGGGGAGATCAGCTCAGGATCTGAGGGCTCAGAGCTAAGTGGGGGTGTCAGCTCTCGCCCTCCTCAGTAGCTGGTCCTTCTCCAAGAAGGAGGGCAGGCGAATAGTTGTAGGCCCTCCAGGTGGGCAGTTGTGGGGCCTGTGTACTGATGGTGCTTGGTCCATCGTCTTCCTCAGCCCCACTGCCCCTGAGGCCTGAATGCTCAGGCTCTCCCCTTGCCTGTTTTAGAGTTCACTGTCCACCCTGGTGACAGGTGGGTGCTCGAGACTGGCCGCCTGTACGAAATCACCGTAGAAGTGTTTGACAAGTCCAGCAACAAAGTCTACCTGTCGGATGTGAGTGCCCACTTGGGTCTTGGTGGGGTGATGAGGTGGGGTCATCTGGAGCAGCTGCCCAGAGAGTAGCCCCAAAGTGATGGGCCCCTACATAGGCAGACCAAGGAGGGGTTCTCTGCTTCCTAGTGGTGCTCCTAGGTCTGTGGGAGACATTGTTGTGGGGTCCCTGGGGCATCTCAAGGCCCTGTGAGCCTCTGAGTGTGCACCAGGCCCTACCAGAAGACCTCCCTGCATGGGTGGCGGGGAGAGGACACGACAAGCAGCAGGGTCTTCAGAGGTGGTGATGGGAGGTGGCCTGTGCTGCTGCCCTCCTGCCCCTTCTCAGCCTGGGGATCGCAGAGGCTGAGAATACATTCTCTTCCTGCTCTGCAGAGGGATGGGATCTATTCCTGGCCTTCTCCCTACTGGGCCCCCAGGAACACTTCTGACCCTCCCAGAAGTCCCTGTGTGACTGAGGCCCACCTCAGCTGGTTTTCTGGCTCTGAAAAGGGGTGTCAGACGAATGAGGAGTTGTGGAGGAGTCTCGGCCGTCTTTCTGTCCTTTGTGAGAAAGTCCTAGGATCGTCAGGTGGAGCATTCAGGACCTTCCTGGTGGCATTTGAGGTTTTAGGAGAAGGAGGCGAGGTTCCCCTTTCAGCTTCTTTGCAGAAGTCGTCACTTCTCTCATCTTGGCAAACAAAGACTGGGTTGGTCACCTTATTTTGTGTTTTCTTCATGTTAGCTGTAAGGAATTTGGTGTCCTTTTTGGTATGTGGTATTTCCTTGTTGAGCCCTCGGGCCTAAGAAAGCTGACAGCAGGCTTCAAGCTGTCCCGAGCACCACGCAGGAGCTGAGACCAGAGTGCGAGGTCATGGGCTGTGTTGGAGGGGGGGGCGGTCAAGGGCCTGGGTGGCCAGAGCATCATTCCAGGGTGTCATCCAGCTAGTCTGTCTGCTTTTGGAGGCCTCGGAGCCCCAGGAGCCCCCTTGGCCTGGCTGGCTGCTGCTTTCCTGCATTCTGACTTTCCTGAGTTACCCAGAAGCACCTCTCGCCCATCCTGCCTTGCCTTCCAGAACATCCGAATTGAAACCGTGCTTCCTTCTGAGTTCTTTGAGGTGCTCTCATCTTCCCAGAATGGGTCATACCATCACGTCAGGGCTATAAAGAGGGGCCAGACGGCAATCGACGCAGCCCTCACCTCTGTGGTGGACCAGGCAAGTTGGCACCTCCCCTCATCCACGCCCTTGGCCCTCAGCCTACAAAGCTGCCTCTGTGGGCAGAAACGTCCACCCCAGCAGGGACATGTCCAGGGAGTCGGGAGCCCCAGCTCAGCCTGGCTATGCTGCTCTCCCGAGTGCTTGGGGAGGCCCTTCTGTCTCTGGGCTCAGGCCCCAGCTGCACAGGAGCTGCCTAGAGCCCAGGGCTTGGGGCTTTTCCTATCCGCACTCTGGGCCAGAGTGCCCATCTTCCCTGCCCTCACCCTGCCTCTGTGAAAGTAGCCTGTGTCTCCTAGGACTGGGGGTAGAAACCCCTGTCTGGGGAAAGAGTGTTGGGCTTATGTGGCCAGCTGTGTCCCAATGTCCCTTTGGCTGTTTTGGCTGCTTGGGTCCTACAAAGACCCCCCTTTTTTTTTTTTTAATTTTTTCCCTGTATTTTCTAGGACTGGGGGTAGAAACCCCTGTCTGGGGAAAGAGTGTTGGGCTTATGTGGCCAGCTGTGTCCCGATGTCCCTTTGGCTGTTTTGGCTGCTTGGGTCCTACAAAGACCCCCTTTTTTTTTTTTTAATTTTTTCCCTGTATTTAAAAAGCTAATCAGTTTTAGGTAGGTGCAGCATTTTGCTGACTGGGAAACTGGCATGGGGGTTCTGCTTTTTCTGTCCTGCACAAAACCTCCCACAGACCTGTACGAGGCAGTAGGATGCAGCAGAAAGAAATGGCCTGTGCACCAGACAGCGATTCCTATCAGAGTCTGCCACCTCAGCTCTGGGGGTTTGGGCGAGTTGCTGTAGTGCTTCAAGCCTCAGTTTCCCATTTGTAAAGTGAGGAAAACCACGTCCATCCTGGCAAGGGTGCCCCTGAGGATTCAGTGAAGCAGTGTTTATGTGAATGGTCCTTCCAGAGCCATGGGAAGCCTTCCCCATAGAGACCAAGAAGACTGCAGGGTCCTGGCATCTTCCTTTCTGCTCTCCTACAAGCACACATCTACCTTTGTGGCCTGATCTTCAGAGAGGGGTGGGGTCTGGATTACTGCAAGGAGCCATGCTGACCACGTGGTTGTCATGATGACATGCAATACCCTCACTCTTGTAGGACGGAGGGGTCCACACACTACGGGTGCCTGTGTGGAACCAGCAGGAGGTGGACATTCACATCCCCATCACCCTCCATCCCAGCATCTTGACGTTTCCATGGCAACCACAGACAGGGGCCTATCAGTACACAATAAAGGTATGTGAGACCCCACCTCTAGGTGCATTCCTGTGGGTGTTTCCATGGGACTGTGGCTTCTTGTTCATTCTGTGACTTTTAGTATTACTGTCTAGTGGGGGAAGAGAATTTTACTTATTTATTTATTTATTATTATTTTTTGTTCTTTTTTTGTGACCGGTAAGGGGATCACAACCCTCCCGCGCTCAGCCAGTGAGTGCACCGGCCATCCCTATATAGGATCCGAACCCGCGGCGGGAGCGCTGCTGCACTCCCAGCACCGCACTCTCCTGAGTGAGCCACGGGGTCGGCCCAGGTGAAGAGAATTTTAAATCAGAAAGTGTTTATGATTTTTGTGTTTCCATTACAGCAGTGTATTTTGATAATCAGAAGAAAATACAATAAAAAAAACAACCAAAAAATAGAGAAAAGAGCACACAATAAAGAAATTCTGGAATACAGATTTGAGTTTCACTTAAAATTTATTTTTCTAAAAAATATTGTTTTTTGAAAGCGGTGTAAATACACTTAGAGAAAAATTTCAAACTCAAGGGGAATATATCTCCCACACTGTTGTATACCAAGTGTGATTGCTCTGACATTCATGTTTCCATGTGGCATGAGCCAGCAGGGACAGACCTCAGATGGGGCTCAAGCCCTCCTGGACAGCACAGTGCTCAACAGTCTTGCTGTCTCCTACACTGACGACAGTGTCCTGTTTGTGCACTGGCACTTGTTCCCCTGACCACTCAGATGTGTCTCCTCCTGGCTTCTTGGGTGCTGGTGTCGTGACTCCAGATGTGTGAAGAAGAGGGACTGTTGTTCACTTTCCAGCAGATGATTAGGAGCGGGCAGGGCTGTGTGCTGGGGGAGCTTGTGTCTACCCATGGGAGCAGCCTCCTGCAGCTAGCTGCATGGCCAGGGGTTCTTCCCATTCCAGCCTGAGCTCTGGGAGGAGCCACTGAGTTCATGAGTATGTGTTTCAGTCACAAGGTCCCCAGGATATGAGAACCAGAAATGAGACAGAGCAGAGAAAGTGGGAGACAGAGGGATCTTCCAGCCAGATGCCAGTTGATGCCATGTTTTTTCATGCAGTGGGGTGTACTGACCTTGGGAGTGTGTGGTCAGTGTGTGTGTGTGTAGGTGTGAGCCTGTGAGAGTGTGAGGGTGTGTAATTGAGGGTGTGAGTATATGTGTGCATGTGTGCATGTAAGAGTGTATGAATGTGTGTATTTGTGTGTGTAGATGTGCATGAAGGTGAATCTGTGAGAAAGTGTGAACGTGTGAAAGTGAGTGTGTATAATTGTGAGTGCGTGTGAGTCTGTTGGGGTGAGTATATAAATGCGTGGGTGAGTCTGGGTGGTTAGTGTGAGCACATGTCTGTGTGAGCATGTGAGTGTGAGCAGGAGAAGGTGTCTGGGTATGAGCATGTTTGCGTGGGTGTCTGTGGGTGAGTATTTGAGCATGTGAGCGGGAGGAGGAGCGTAAGCGTGTACAGGCACACACTCGTGTCTCAGCCTCTGGTGTGAGTGAGGGTTCCACGTGGGGTCTGGGCCAGGCAGCTGATCCCGTGCTGTTTTCCTTCTAGGCGCATGGTGGCAGTGGGAACTTCAGCTGGTCTTCCTCAAGCTACATGGTTGCCACGGTAACTGTCAAGGGCGTGATGACCACAGGCAGTGACACAGGACTCAGTGTGATCAAGGCACACGATGTCCAGAACCCACTGCATTTCGGGGAGATGAAGGTGAGACCCCCCCCCCCCCCCCCCCCCCC